CACTTCAACCTATGCCACTTCTCCGCAAATTTTACCTGTCAGCCAGGCTATCTTTGATCATGGGTTTGGTATTCTTTCAAAAGAGTGCTACACTTGTGATCAGAAATAGCTTGGCTAATAGATCATCTTGCATTGCAATTTAGTCAGTGTCTATGGATGCCATCTCAAGGTTCCATTTACAATTGTCCAATCCATTGGAAAGGTTTGATAAAAGTGGAAATGAAGCCAAAGGATCCATGAATCACATTATTTATCTTGTCTCCCATTTAATTAGTAAGTGAGTAGAATAAGTGGATTGGCATTGGCATTAAGAGCAGTATAGTTTATTCCAGTATGCTTTCCTTCTGGCTCTAGGCCTGTAGGCAGGGGTGGGCTGTTGGGGTTCACAGGGATTCGGGAGAACTAGCTAAGATTCTGTGCAGTTAGGAGAATACCCAAATTCCACTCCTGGCTGGCCCACCCTACCCCACCCCGCCCCTCCCAGGAGTCTCCACACGTCCCGTTTTGGATGCGGGTAAGTGCAGGGCGCACACAGAGGCTCGGGGAAGATGAAAAACGGGCCTACTGGAAGTTCAGGAAGGGCAGAAACAAGCCTGTTTCTGGCCTCCAGAGGGCCTCCGTAGCCTGTGGAGGCCATTTTCGCCCTCCCAGAGGCTCAAGGAAAGCCTCCAGAGCCCAGGGAGGGCAAAAAGCCCCCCTCCCCCATGGTGCAGGAGGCCGACTAGGCCATGCCCACCATGGCCACGCCCACCCAGCAACCGGGCAGAGAACCCTTTGCTAAAATTTTTGAAGCCCACCCGTGCCTGGAGAACAGCACTCCAGTGAAGCCATCCTATTATACCCAAAGAGTCTGAAGAGAATACAAGAACTTACTTACACTTTGGAGGGCTGGGAGAATGGATCAACACACTGGTATGTGGCACAGGACAGAGCAATTGGAGACAAAATTAGAGAAATTAGAGAGAGAAATTAGAGATTCCTCAGATGCTTCCATGAGGGAAAGGAAAACAGTTGCAGAGATGTTTGCTGCTTCATGTTCGCTGAACCATGGAGCAACAAACTTCTCTGTCAGTCCCAATTATGAAGAATGCATGTATCAGCCTCTTTCTGATCCATGTCACTTTTGCATCTATAAGAAGGAGGAAGAGATCAGATTTGCAAGGTTATATTATTATAGTCTCTCTTTTAAAAAAAAAGTTTAGGCCTTCATGAAGAATTAGTTTTCTGGTCGGGTCTACCTAGCAGGGCTGACATTTAATTTGCCCAATGTAAATTAGGCTACTCACTTGACATGCAAATTAAATGAATTTGTCCCCTAACCTGTGTCAAATCATACAAAACATTACAAGTCTCTAACGGCCTGACAACACTACTTTGAGGGTGAAAATGGGTCCTAACTACAGTATATCCCAGAATCCTCTGCAATATAGTGAGAATTTTTGGCAAATGGGTCATCATACTACAGTAGGAATTATTTGCAAATATTTGCTAATGTATTAATTTGGATGATTAAAGAATCTCTCCCCCTTCCAACCCATGCATAATATTAGCTTATGTTCAAATTTGATCTCTTTCATAATTTAACGTGAGAAATGTTCCATATAAGTGGAAGAGCCTTGTTTGACTTTTTGTATGTTGAACATTAGAGTCCCTGTTATCTTTCTGATGTTTTCCTTGGAACTGAGAGCAGCTTTCTAATGGCAGAAGAACGTAACCAAAAAGACCAATATTAACTGCAGTTTTGGCTTCAGTTTTGCTGGCTGCTTTAGAAAAAGAAAGCCTCTGTTCAAGTGAGACCTCTAGCTGTCTCTAAGTGTCATTAAATTTTGAAAATAAGGGGGAAAAGTCAGAAGTTGAAAGCTAAAAAAAAAACAGTTTGAAAGGCTAATGTGCAGGTAGCAGTATATTATGACTAATATACTCTGCAATATAGATTTGACATCATAGGAAAGCCTATTTTATCAAGGCTAAAGAAGGCTGTATTGAATATGGTATGTTGTTGTTCAGTTGCTAAGTCATGTCTGACTCTTCACGACCCATGGACCACAGCACGCCAGGCCTCCCTGTCCTCCACTGTCTCCTGGAATTTGCCCAAATTCATATTCATTGTGTCGATGACGCTATCAAACCATCTCATTCTCTGCTGTCCTCTTCTCCTTTTGCCTTCAATCTTTCCCAATATTGGGGTCTTTTCCAATGAGTCCTCTCTTCTCAATAAGTGGCCAAAATATTTCACCTTCAGCTTCAGTATCTGTCCTTCCAAAGATCAGCCAGAGTTGATTTCCTTAAGGATTGACTAATTTAATCTCTTTGCAATCTATAAATGTAGTGATATGACTACAAATGTATATATATATATATCTAGGAACAGAGAAAATGAATGTAATATATAGGCTTCTTTCCACTTCTGATTTTGTTTATCTTAACATCTTGCTATTTTTGCCTTAGTTTGTAGCGGGTATTTTATGCTTATGGTTTGTTATTTTTAGTACTAAGGAATTAGACAAGGATTAGACTCTCTCCTTATTTATTCAACCTCTATGCTGAGCATATATTGAGGGATGGTGGATTGGAAGAAGGTGAGTGTGGTTTTAAAACTGGAGGAAGAAACATCAATAATCGGTGCTATGCGGATGGATGACATGATTTTGATAGCTGAAATTGCAAATGACCTAGGAGCTCTAGGAATGAAACTCAAGCAGCACAGTGGAAGAAAAGGGCCTGCAACGAAACATAAAAAAGATCAGCCAAATGGCAATGGTACAGCAACCACCCTTAGAATTTACAACCAAGATAGTGAATGGTGAATAGTTTCTATCCGCCCTTCAAGGTGGGGCAGGTCAAGAAACTGACCCCACAAGAACAATCGTTTTTGTTATAGAGCTAATAACAGAATCTTGTCAGAGTTTCTGCCTGTTGTATCTTATACTAAAAAACATCTTTCCTAGCATTCGGTTGCCATTTCACCTCTCTTAATGGTTCTTATATTCTTTTACAGTTTCTACCTTTTGGGGTTGTCTGCAGTCTAGAAATATGTCATAAACTACTACTTGGAGGGATAGCAATGAAGGCCTTAGAAAATAGAATAGAATAGAATTCTTTATTGGCCAAGTGTGATTGGACACACAAGGAATTTGTCTTTGGTGTACATGCTCTCAGTGTACATAAGGAGAATAAAATACATTCATCAAGGATAAAAAGATACAACTCTTAATGGTAGTCAAAGTTACTAATAAGCTATCAAATTGTATTAGGAAACAAGTAAAAACAATATAAATTGAAAGATACAAGCAGATGGTTATAGTAATGTGAGAAGAGATAGATACTAGTAAGGAAGAGAAGAATAATAGTAATACAGTCTTAGTAAATTATTTGACAGTGTTGTGGAAATTAGTTGTTAAGCAGAGTTGATGTGCACCATGACTTGTCTATACCTACAAAGGTCAGAACCATGCAAGCAATGGTTTTGTTTGTGACATTGTATATGAGTGCCCTGGTGTTCCATCTAAGTAGAGAGGGTGATCTAATGTCATTTCGTTGTGATAGGTAGATTATTCTATAGTCAGTCTTAGACTGATTGCTGATCTGAATCTCCATATGGATCGAGGTCTGGTTAAACTGGTGAGCCAGGTAGATAGATAGATAGATAGATAGATAGATAGATAGATAGATAGATCCAAATGATAGATTCAAATAGATTCTCGAATACACTTTTGGAGAAGTGCTCTACTTCCTCTGTCTGCTTCTTCTCTCAACACTCTAGCCCAGGGGTGTCAAACTCATGTCGTCACGACAGCATCACTTGACGTATCAGGGCTCTTTTTCCCCCTTTGCTAAATCGGGCATGGGCATGGCCAGCGCGTGACGCATCCAGCCACAAGTTTGACAGCCTTGCTCTAGCCAATCTGTGAAATATAAAAAAGGCAGTATATACTGCTGCTCCCAAGTGCCTCTGTGATCCACATCAGCCTCGTAGTTTGGGGAGGAAAAGCATAAGATTTCTTCCACTTGTTTGACTGAAGATGGTGGAAATTCCAAGGTGCATTTCATTGAACGTAGAGAAAATTCCATTTGGAATATCCTATTGTTTGCAGAGGAGGTTTTAAATAATACCTCTTTCTATATTTCTATTGTGTTTATACAGAATATATCAGTACTGTTTTTTTCACACTGTATGTCACTTGGTTTATTGGGAAGTAGGAGTCAGAGCAATTAGTGGCTTGTTTTGAGCAGTTTGCCACATTCTTGGTAGATAAAGTTGCTCAGATTCATCTCAACTTAAACTCTAATGTTAGGGCAGGCTATATAATGTTGAAACCTGAGCAACTGTTTGTCCTGTTGTATTGGATTTTTTCAGCAAAGAAGTGGGCAAGGTATTTGGGGGGGTGGGGGAAGCACCAAGGGCTTTCTTCAAATCATGTACTTCCTAAGGATTGGAACTATATTTTAGAGCAGTGATTTTCAAACTTGTGGACTTCAACTCCCAGAATTCTTAAGTTGCCATGTTTGAAACCACTGATATAGAAAGAGAATAAATACTTCAACCATCCATCCCTATCAAAAAGACATGGAGGCAAACGAACATAATAACTGGGAAAAGTTTTTACCAGCCTATATATAATACATCATACATATTTTTTTCTGGCTAAATTATTCAAAAGTGAAAAATCATCAGAGTTAAACATCTTGACAAATGGTCTATACTAAGAACTGCACGAGGTTCTCAGCCCTTACTGGTCCTATTACTGCTAGCCATGCATCTTTCTGAATCTTTTATTAGGAATGGACTTTGAGGAATGGAAATTGTTTTACTGTAAAGCTAAGTCTACAACATGATATTTCATGATTATTACTTGGCACCTAATCCAGTAGCCTGTAATATTCCACACATTTAAAATGTACTTGAGATTCCTGGAAATGATCACTGGGAATATATGCATGAGGTACTATCAGGAAACTGATGATATTGACTTGTATCTTTAAGGAATTAACGGATTCCCTGGGTGGAGCTAGGTGAAACAAAATGGATAAGGGACAAGCTGAATTTATATCCAGTCAAGACCAAAGAAATTAGTTTCTGGAACTGGGATCAGTTTATTCTGAGTGAATTTGCGTCTCCCCTAAAAGGGTAGGTCCACAGTTTGGGAATATCCCAATAGCACTTACTGACCTTCTGACGTAATAGTTGATTTTAAGCTTTTGTATGAGTTGTTTTCTTTTTCAGTGTTAGATTCAGAGTAGAAAACCAAGCTATATAAATTATTATTATATTCACAATTGTGAAATTACACCTGCCAGATCTTTAGATGGTGTTGGCCTTCATATAAATTTGAGTTCTTCCCAAGAACCTATAATATAATGTATCAGCGTAGTATATGTGCAAATCCAAACAGTGTGGCCTTTTGTAATTGACAAACAGAAATTTTGTCATTGTGTAAATTTTCTAACAGCTGTCCAAGTTTTTTTGGGTAGGGCACCCATTGTTCCAATAACCACTGGGACCACCTTAGCCATAATCCTTCAACTTTGTGATCTTTTCCAATTCTTTGTATTCTATTCTACTATCCCATGTTATTTCCACATGAGTTAGCTATACATTCTTCTTTTCAACCAGTTAAATCTGGTATGTTATGTGCCAACTTTATTGGCTTGAATTCAGAAATTCCACAATATTTTAACCTGCTCATTTTCAACTGAATACTATTATTCAGTATTCACAGACAGGCAACTTGCCTTTTCTTAATATATATAATTACTTGGCTTCAGTGTCTATTAAGTTCAGTTGGTCTAATTTTCAGCATACAGGCACTCTTAGATTGTAGTCTTAGATTGTTTTTACTTCCAACAGTTTCTCTGTAGTATGGCATCTGCTGTATCGACTTTCTCATGCCAGAAGTCAAACATAAAAGAAGCTGTTTGTTACTTTTGTGTTTGCTTTTTTGGAAAGTTCACAATAACATGAGAAACAATTACACTTTAGCCATAGTTCCGGTTCTTGAACACAAGAGAACTTCAATGTGATTTTGGGTTATATTTGAGTAGGTTCTGGCTTATATGAACAACTGAACTGACATTCAAGCAAAAAGGAATGTCTGGAAGCTGGAAAGGGGGAAGATGCGAGACTGCATATGGAGACCCAGCCTCTTTTCACATTGAGGTCACTATGCATTTATGACAATATCTGAACAGGTCTAGTGTAGAAAGTTCATTCAAATCTCATCTATTTATTATAATGTTTATATTTAAAAGTATGATCTTTTTTTAAAAAAATCAAGCATAAAATAAAAAAAATGTAAAGACTTTGTCATGGTTTGATTCCTTAAAGAAAAGTTTTGAAGATTACACTGCATTTAGCTTGCATAAACTTTGCTCCCTAAGGAACATGATCATAAAGTATTCATTTGAAAGATTAGGTCAAAGTGGGATGCTGCATATACTTGAGAGCTTGTTCCACTGACGTGGTTGTGGCAGGGCTGAAATAAACCAGTAATTCTGGATGAATTGGATATATCTTAGCTAATATGAAGAAAGAGAGTCTTTGATTAGAAAGCTTTATGAATCATTGTAAATGGAGAAAAATGTCAACTAACAAAAAGAAAATGTTGATGCTTTGAAGCTATTTTATGTGAAAGAATGACAAATATGGATGGCTGTTGTTTATAGACTCGCTTTGCCTCTGCTAAAACAGTATGATAAACTTGTTTATTCTGTTGGCCACATTTATATTTCTGAACTTCATCATCTCGCTTATCTTCCTTTCAATAAGTAAGCCTGGATCAAGAAGAGTACACATACTCAGAAAAGGAGGGTGGGGAAGATGACCTTTTTCTCTTTCAAAACTCTGCTAATAATATGCTAATCTAGAGCTAAAATTAAAGTGAAATAAATTGTTCAACATATGCAGAATCCTTCTGCCAGTGCCATAAAACCTCCCTTCCCTTCCCAACTGCAGCTTGGCTTCTGGGCCTGTTGGGGATACAGAGAGCACTGGCAGAGAGTCTGCATTGGGATCTAAGAAGAGAAAGTGTGTTTATTTTGGTTTTGGATCTGTTACAACTTCTCAGTAGTTTTCTGTCCTGTTGCCCATAGAATACTCCTGGATTACTTTGAGTAGATGGGCATAATGATAGCAATTTACAATGGTGCCAGTCCTTTCTTATGAACTGGTGCCAGAAGGTTCACTTTGGCTATTAAAAGGTAAAGGTTCCCCTGTACATGCATGCTCGTCGTTTCCAGCTCTAGGGGCAGTGCTCATCTCCGTTTCTAAGCCGAAGAGCCAGTGCTGCTCGAAGATGTCTTCGTGGTCATGTGGCCGGCATTACTCAACACCAAAGGCGCACGGAGCACTGTTACCTTCCCTATTTTTCTACTTGCATTTTTTATGTGCTTTCAAACTGCTAGGTTGGCAGAAGCTGGGACAAGTAACGGGAGCTCACCCCATTACACGGCACTAGGGATTCAAACCACTGAACTGCTAACCTTCTGATCGACAGACTCAGCATCTTACCCACTGAGCCACCGCGTCCCATTATTTTGGCTATTAGGATATGTTATATATTGTATAAAATAAATCATTTGTAAATCATTGGGTGTATACAACGTACATTGCATAGTGTCCATGTTATTTAATATCTATGTGAGACCATTAAGAGAAATGAGATTAGGGATGCAAGAAAGTGAATCTATTGAGAGAACCTACTCTAGTTCTCTTTTTTTCCTTTGACACCTAGAAAGCTGCTGATGCTTTCAATCAGAGCCTGTAGTAATTAGTGTGAGATAAATTCTGGGGAGAATTAAGTCCACATTCAGTCATTGAATGATTTTGACCATGTATTATTTCTTGGCGCAATCTCCCTCACAGTCTTCAGATAAGGAAAAAGAAGAGGGTGCTAAGTGTAGGGTGTCTTGAGCCTGTGGAGGAAAAGGAGGATATAAATCTGATAAATATATAAATAATAAAACTGAAAAGGGAAAATTCGAGAAAAGGGCAAATTCTGAAAGAATCAACCAGCTTTAGGTAATGAAATCTGCAACTGGAGATTTTCTTGGAGAAATTATCACAGCTAAATAAATAATGGTGACCAAAAATACTCTCCCCCAATTGAGAATTACTGTATATGTACAGTAGATCAGTAATACACCCTGTATGGCTTTACACCAAAGTAAATTTGCCTTAGAATCTGATCTGAATTTGTCTCCTCCATTTTGCTTCTTCAGAACCAACATAGATAGAACTTTTCCTTCCCTAACCTGGCCCTTCATGTCTTCCAACAATTTATCCAAAACCACCGTGACTGAGTTCATCCACATTGCCATTGATTATCCTCTTCTTTTTTCTTCCACCTTTCCCAGTATTCTCAAGAAATCTGGGTTTTTGCATAATGTGCCCAAAATATTATTTTGAGCTTATTCATGTAAAACATGTTTATTGTGTTATTATGGTGGAGTGTGTTGAGAATAGGACACAACAATGCTGCTTTCATTAACATTCCTGTGGCCAGAACATTACTTTCTCTGGCTCTGACCAAGAACAAGCTTACTCATTTTCAATTGGAGAGACAGACAGATATAATGTGTCTCACACATACATAAACAAACACACAGATTTCAGTATCTCAGAATTGATGAATAATAATATAGGTGATAAGCTTCATATCAACCCTTTTGAAAGATAATTGCAAGATTGTTTCACATGAACTGGTTTTATCAAGAAAGAAGAGATACCATGTTAAAAGACCAGAAAAGTTTATTATTCTGTACTAATTTGAAGTCATACCGTGCAGTTTTGCATCCAGAACTGGACAGCATTTTAAGAAAGACATTAAGAAGCCATATTTAATGGAGGAACCAACAACATAGTGTCTCGAAAGAAATATTTGAGATGTACCGAAATACATCTCATGCAAAAAAAAAAATGATTTATGGTTCTGGAAGGTAGAGCTATGATTAAAGGTGTTGAATCTACAAGGAAAATATGTATTAGCTGATCATTGTTGAACAGTGGAACCAGTGATGTTCACAGCAAACTGCTTACACTGCTGAAATTATGTTGCACAAATTATGCTGACTTCTGACACCGGTATGTAAGTTGCATCATTTGGTCCCTATACATGTTTTGTGGTTTGTCCCATTGCCTCCACCCTATCCCGATGCCCATTGGTGGAAAAAATGTCAATGGATACTGCAGGTCTTAAGGGTTTTGAAGTAAAGGCTGAATAAATTTTCATACGAGATGCTGTTTCAGGAGCTTGCCTTGTGGTTTCTGCACTGAAGAGGGGTTGGATAAATGACCTCCAGAGAAGCTGATTCTGGGAAACTAAGATCCACCTTAGAAGGAACCTTATAATCTGCAGTCCTCTTTGGGGCTTTTGAGCTCAAAACTCAAAGAACCGCCCAGGAGGCAATCAGGGAACTTCCTATACAAACACACCATTCATCAATGTTATCCCAGCCCTTTGATGAGATGGTGTGTGTGTGCAGTGGTGAAATCCTAATTTTTTTACTACTGGTTCTGTGGGCGTGGTTTAGTGGGCATAGCATGGCTTGGTGGGTGTGGCTTGGTGGATGTGGCAGGGGAAGGATACTGCAAAACCTCCATTCTCACCCCACTACAGGGGAGGAATACTGCAAAATCCCCATTCCCTCCCCACTCTGCGGCCAGCCAGAGGTGGTATTTGCCGGTTCTCCGAACTACTCAAAATTTCCGCTACCGGTTCTCCGAACTGCTCAAAATTTCCATTACCGGTTCTCCAAAACCTGTCAGAACCTGCTGGATTTCACCCCGTATGTGTGTGTGTGTGTGTGTGTGTATTTGTATGTGTGTTCTGTGGCAATTTAAAGCTGCAAAAATCCCAAGCCATTATCTCTCTATTCAAGTTACAAGCTACGAAGAAAATGCTACAGTATGAAAGTACCATTGCAGAAACTGGGAAAAGCCAAGATACAAGAGGAAAGGTGAGACAAGATGTCCCATCGATAAGATATCAATCAGCTTAAGCTTCACAAAGCACCAGTAGTTCTGCTGAAAAGTTGGCTTCCATTTATTTCCTATTGAACTGCAAATGAGCCAAAAATAGATTGGCTCACTTGCTGAACAAAGATAGTATCATGGAATCACATAGGTGAGGA